AGCCTTTGGGCAAACTTTGGCATCGGATTGTTTTTTTTTTGTTTTTTTTTCTTTTGCTGAATTTCTTATGTTTTGTTTCTCTGCTTGTCCCGTCTCGTAAAATCTGTCTTTGTGTTCTTTACCCAAGCGTATTATTATTGCACGCGAGGATGACTCTTGCTGTGACCACGCTGCCATTAATGCTGGGTGGCTGTTTTTGTTTCTCGCTTTTTTTCTCGTACGTGTCAATATTTTTTTGGCCAGTTAGAAGAATATGTAAGAGCTTATATACAGACAACACGACTTTTCATATCAATTCCTGGGTTTTATTTCGTCATGTCTCTCGTCATCTTCCTGCCGGCCGCATAAACCACACTGCCTCTTTCAATTTTCAACTCCTCGCCACTGCCAGTTGAGAAAACTTGAACTTGGAACACAAAGGCTAACTCTCCCTCACTCAAGGATGACAACAATCAATCGTTAATTTTCTTTAGCTGTGAATTGTCTGTTACATTTTCCGCAAATCAAAAGTCTAGACAAACCAACTCACAAACGCATTGGTGATTTAGTCAACTGCTTTTAAAAAATACATATTTTTACCATTTTCCTCCCTATCACAGTCTGCCACTCAGCTTTTCATTCTTTGCACCAGTCATGTCCCACATTACATAGAGCACTTGGAGGGAGGATGACAGCCAGTCCTTGACCCTCTATGACAGCAACAGGTATAAAGCCACACGCATTATTTTTTTAACTTAACCTAACCCAGTCCTTCACCCTCCTCGGTCACTATACTCCCCCTCCCTATAGTCGTCTCTTGCTGTACAGTAATGCTCAATGTTCTGACAAAAAAAAAATCAAACCTTTCATCCCTCGCCTATTGCACCCCCGATGCTCGGGTCTCTCTCCAGTGATTGTCAACACTTTGTTCAAACAGCACACGTACCACTATTCCCCTCTCTTTCATATTTTCTTCCTCAAAACCTCGCGGGAAGTGGAATTGTCTCATCGTTCACGTCTCACAGTCTACGTGCACCGTGAAGCTTTGTATATGTCGGGTATAAGCTTGGATTATAATTTATAGCCATTTAAAATCTGGGTACTTTTTATTCGGGGGGGCCTCTGTGTGTGTGTGTGTGTGTGTGTGTGTGTGTGAGTGTGTGTGTGTGTGTGTGTGTGTGTGTGTGTGTGTGTGTGTGTGTGTGTGTACAGATTCTCCCTTCACTTGCAGGCATTCGCTCTTTCTGTATCTTTGACAGTCGTGTGTTCTGCTGTGGTGTTCCCCTCCCTTGTACTAGAGTGTTTCCTCTACCCGAGTCTCCCCCATCACCCTTTCTAGTACATTTCTCCTCCTCCTCCTCATTCCTCTCCTTCATATCTCTTCCCTCTTAACCTCCTCCTCCTCTTACACTTCCTTTTTCTATGTCTCTTACTTTTTATGTCTTTTCTTCGTCTTAATTATTTTCTTTTTATTATTTTCCTCCTTGTTATCTTCTTGTTTGCTTCTTCAGTCTTCCTTAGACCTTTCAACTCCTCGCATCCATCCTCCGTATCCCCCCCTCGCCCGTCTCAGCCCTCATAATGTAGCTTCTCTCATCTCTTCCTCCTCTCACGTCTTCCTCTCACCTTCCTCTCTTATCCTTCCCTTTCCTCCTCCCACAGACCTGAGTTGAGGCCAAAGATTTTATCTCTGGAACAAATTCCCTTGCTGACTGAGTTCCTCCTCCTCTCCTTCCTCCCTCCCTCCTCTCCCTCTCCTCTCTCTCTCTCAAACTTCTTTCTTCTTCTCTCTCCCCTCCATCCTTTCCTTCTTATTCTTCTTAGTGTCTTATGCTTTGTCTCCATTCATTCTCTTCCTCCTTACCTCCCTTCACTTACCTTCTCAACCATTCCTCCTTCTTCTCCATAATCCTTCCCAGTCATACCTTCCCACTCTCTCCCCAAACACCCCTCTCACCTTTTTTGCATCCCCTCTTCCCCTTTCTCTCTCTCCCCTCTCCCTACCACTCTTTCTCTCCCCACCTCCTCATCTTTCCTCAATCACAATGGCTCCCCCTCCCCTCACCTGTACCTACTCTCCCCACTCCCCACCGCCTCTCACCGTTCCCCACTCCCTCTCACCTGTACCAACTCTCCCCCACTCCCCACCTCCTCTTCCCATTACCTCTTAATCTCTGTCGGGAAGTTCCTCCTTGAACTGCCGAGCACACACCAGGGTACAGCCACTTGCTACTATGATAACATCGTAGAGGAGGATTCATCGCGTGTGTGTGTGTGTGTGTGTGTGTGTGTGTGTGTGTGTGTTCTTCATCTTTTACACCACAAAGCCACATCAGTCGACACAAAATTACCCGAACTCGGTTAGATATTCCACATATGATATTCTACGCTGTTACCTTTGTCGGCTGGCCAGAAAAATGAAAACTCTAGATGGCCTGTGGTAGGGAAATAGCGGGAAGGAGGTTACACATCTTTCATCGGTAGGTGCTGGGAGGAAGGTTAGTAGATGTATTATTCATTGTTCGTGTAAGTAAAGATAAAGTGTTACTCCTTGCTATCCCTTCATTCTCCCCCCCTCTTCATCCTACCCCTCCTCCCTATTTTTTCAGTCTCTTGTGCCCTTCCTTCTTAACCCCCCCCCCCCAAGTTCTCCATCCTCATCCTCCCTCCCTTACTCTCTCTTTATCCCTCATTTTCTCTTCATAATTTTGCCTCTGATGATATAGTCCACACGCTCCACGTTCCTCTTTTATCCTTTTAAAGTCTCAAAATCATTCTTGGAAAATAATTGTGATAATGAGAGAGTTTTTTTTGTCACTACTTCACTCCAACCTGCAGAAGTCACCGACGAAGGCTTAGAGGGTGGTGAGAGGTCAAAGGCATCAACAAAAGCTCTCTGGAGTTGATGGTATGAGTGTGAAACAAAAGACCTCCATGGGGCGTCATAACTTGGAAAAATAAAAGACACAATTTTTTCCTTTAAGCTCAACTGGACTCAATAGATCACAGCAACGTTTGATCTTGGTGAAAAAAAAAGTTTTACTGGAGGAAAATTTTTTTTTGTGATTCGACTGTGAAACAAAAGAGCTCCGTGATGCGCCGAACGTTTAAGGAATCTACTGTATATAGGGACTCGGTAAACCACAACAATATTTGCTTTATTTTGAGGACAATACTGTTGGGTGGGGCACAATCACTTCCTCTGTTTTCACTCAGGATGCTCTGGTAAAGGAAGAAGGATCACTCTTCTTCAGATCAACACGTGACCCTTCTTCAGATCAACACGTGACCCTTCTTCAGAAACGTTATAATCCCTGGGATGAAAAGTGTAACGACCGCTTTGCTCACACACGCGCGAGAGCTCCTCTATAAAAGGGACAAGGATCACTCAGCCGTTCTTCTCACACTACTGGAAGCGTTCTGTGTATGAAAGCAGCAAGCAGCTCCTCCCCACCGCTCGTGACCTGAGAAACAGAATATCCCCTGCTGGCCACACGACTCCACTACTTACATGGTTACTACGACACTATGACATTACGATACTGTGATACTACGACACTATGATACTACGACACTACGACACTACGACACTACGACACTATGATACTACGACACTATGACACTATGACACTACGACACTACGACACTATGATACTACGACACTATGACACTACGACACTACGACACTACGACACTACGACACTACGACACTACGACACTACTAAGGTAAAAAATATGATTCGAAGGAAATATTGACCTTTAGAAATACAAGGAAACAAGACAGGGAGACAACAGATTCCTTTCTACTGTCTACAACTTCAACCAAAAAGTGAATACAACAAAAAAACAACGAATCAATTTGCAAATAGATTCAGAAAGTCCAATCAAACGTATCAGTTAGCAGAAGAGATTTGGGTATAAACTCTACACGTAAGGAATTATTAATAATATTTTTTTTGTTACTGACAGAAGCTACGGATACGGAACTAATCTGTCAGCAGCTCACACACAAGAGTATAGCTTTCAGTTATGGCTTGTTGGGCTTATTGAGGCTAACTATGTACTTGTCTATCAGCCATTAGTCATGCAGCTTAAAACATTATGTGTTCATGACCATCAAACTCTCCATTTATTAGTGAAAATTTCCAAGGCATAAAACATTTTCCAGTGAACATTTTAACATCAAAACATAAACATCGCTGCAGAACAATTACTGTATCGCTGAAGAAAGAAAAAAAAAACTCTTTATTCCACGAGAGTAAATTATTAACCTAGAACGAGAAAGCTGATGCCATTTTTTTATTTTTGATAGCGTCAGTTTTGACTCTCTGGAGTCGTTCTGCCGAGATATGTGGTAGGTGATGGACTGCGTGTGTCGTGCTGCTTCTGTCAGCCAACACTTAACGCCAGCTGTTATATGGCTTGATTGATATTATTATTTATCATTCCTTCTGCTTATTTTTTTCTCATTCTTTTCATTGCACTAAATTTCTGTATGATTTCATCTTATTTTTCACCATTATACTTGTCAAGCATCTTTACATTCCACTTAGCTCACCACAACCCGCCGTCACAACTCACCACAACCCACCGTCACAACTCACCACAACCCACCGTCACAACTCACCACAACTCATCACAACATTATAATCCCTTCAAGATCATCACCTCTCGTGGCTCCAGTATAGTCAGTAGTTAAATTTCTAAGTCGTCAATAACAGGTGTAGAATTTGCTCACAACAAACAATTACACCTTCAATTAACGTGTTACCTGGTGTGAAGGGATACACCTGAGAGATGGGTTAATTTGCCAACCTCACCTGGCTAGCTACTATACCCGTAACGAGAGCCACCAGTTGCTTTTCACCGAATTCCTTAATCACTGGTGGGTAGACAAAGGTAACTGGCACGAAGGAATCTGATGAGAGCTCTACGCCGGTGTCCTGAACGTCCGTCTGTCTGTCTGTGGAGGCGAGGAGAGTCAGCATCACTAAGACCCACAAAACCGTCATCGTACTCACCGTTCTGTCTCTGAGCCTGAAGACCTGACAGTCAAGCGTCGCCGTCCTTCCTCTGCTGATGGTGACGTTGGTGGAGTTGAGGTGGTGGAGGAAGTAGGGGAGTGTGGCGGGGTCTGGCGTGGTGGGGGGCGGCTCAGTTGTCGTGTCGGGGATGTCGATACTGGGAGCGAACCCCCCCACCAGGCACGCTGTAGGAGGGAGGAAGGTCAAGGAGTTATTTATTTGGTTAGTTTTAATGAGGAAAATTATATTTTTTTTTATATACTGATAAAAAAGTGGAGAGTTTCGACTTGCAGTGTGTGTGTGTATGTGTGTGTGTGTGTGTGTCTGTGTGTGTCTGTGTGTGTGTGTGTGTGTGTAATCATTAAACATTCAACATTATTAATCAACTAAAAGCCAATCGATGAACGCTCACATTACCAAGACTTCTAACACCATTCATTATCGTTCTCCCTCCAATGAACCTTGACCTTCACCACGACACGACGTGGGATGTAACGAGGTGATTTACACCTAAAATTGCTTTGAAGGCGTGATAGGGTCATTAGGGGTCGACTACCAAAGAGAACTACTCCCCGGAAAATGACCCGTCGACCCATACCGTGAACTCTTTTATATAATCAACCAAACGTGAAGCAATTTACCTTTACCTGCATAATAATCTATCCAACTCATTATGGATGTTTCATGAGCCAGCTGGTTTAATATTATCCTAATTACGTGGCTGGATACTTGAGAACGAGGTGATTAGAGGTATGTGGCAGGCGTTAAATCGTCGAGTTAAAGACCTTGTAGGTAACTGGGTGGTATAGAGGAATGGCTGCAACCTAATCTTCAAAGGCTACCTGCGTTAATTTTTTTACCCTCGTAAGTGAGAAGAGGTCACAGCCCAGTGGTTCATTGACTACACGACACAACGAGAATGGCTGAAACAACATCAACATTAATTAAGACTATCATTGTAATAAGTACAAGTAAAACACAACTAAATAAACCCTAAAACTATTTATTTATTTGTTATTTTATAGTGTTACTGTTGTATATACCTCTTACATATATATTTAAACACCTATAGTGAATATAATAGTTTGTTCATGATATCAAAATTGCCAATACATTCATAATAACATTAGTACCAACACGATTACGATATCAGAGTTTCTAATACGTTTATAATAACAAAATTACCATCACGTTCACAATACAAGGATAACCAACACGTTTACGATAACACAAGATAACAAGATTTCAAAGATGTGTACCATAACAGCATTACCGATATATTTACGAATAACACTGAATACCAATACTCTCACGATAACAGGATTACCAATACATTTATGATAACAGGATTGCCAATACGATGACCATCGCCCATCCAGGTATAGGTATGTTATTAACGCGTTACAGGTAAGCCCACGCACTCACCTGTCATAACAAGAGGGAGACTAAGGTGTATGTTTTTACCTGTGGTCCTCTTAATTATAATGAAGACCAGGGCTTGATATTAACCTCATCTCTCTCTCTCTCTCTCTCTCTCTCTCTCTCTCTCTCTCTCTCTCATTTTATTTACCCCTTTTTCATTCGTTTTATCCCTCCCTTTAATATCCATTGCTTTTTTCTCTTTCTCTCTTTTTTTCTCTCTCTCCTCCTGTTCTCTTTCCCTTTCTCTATCCCCTATAATTCTCTGCTGTCTTCCCTTTCCTTTTATCTTCTCTTTATCCTTTCCTTCCTTTTACTACACCATTTACTTTAGTTCCCTTCCCGTTTCTCTCTCTCTTTCCCCGCTTCTTTTTTTTCTCGCCTTTTTACCCAATTCATCTTATCCAAATTCTTCATTTTCTCTTCCTCTCCCCCTTTCTTATTTCTTCACTCTCTCTCTTCCTTTACCCTTCTTAGTTCTTTTCCATTTTGCCCATTTCTATTTCTCTTCCTTTCCTTCTTTTTCATTTCTTCACTTTATCTTTTTATTTCCCTTTCCATATTATCTTCTACTTCTCTAACTTATATCTCATTCCTTAACTCCCTATCTTTCTCCTCTCCCTTTCTTTCCCTTTCCCTTCCATAATCTCTCCACCCCTTTCCCCTCTTCCATACCTCTGATCTTAACTCAATCCTCATTCCCCCCCTTTCCCTTACCTCACTCTCTCTATCTCTTCTCCCTTCTTCTCTCTCTCTTCCACAAATCTGTTCCCTCTTTTCCTTTCCCCTTTCTTTAAACTATGAGACAGAGGGGTCAGGAGTTGTGAGTCTTTAAGAGGAGAGACAAGGGGTAAAATTCCCTCTTAAGTGGCAGTTGTAGTAATTGGGCCTTAGTTAAATCTCCTCCGCACCTGAAATCCTGCTTGATTTGTTGAGGGGAGGAGGTGGTGAGGGGAGAGGTGGTGAGGGGAGAAGGTGGTGAGGGGAGAAGGTGGTGGAGATTGGTGAGAGAGAGAGAGAGAGAGAGAGAGAGAGAGAGAGAGAGAGAGAGAGAGAGAGAGAGAGAGAGTAAAGCGTCAACTTTGCCAATTTTTATTCCTGAACACAAGTGAAAACTCACCCCCAGGTTTTGCTAATAGTTCGTCCATGTTGAGTACTTTGCCAATTTTTATTCCTGAACACAAGTGAAAACTCACCCCCAGGTTTTGCTAATAGTTCGTCCATGTTGAGTACAAAGCTTTCCTACCGCCTACAACTCGCGAGTGATGAGTCATATGTCTAAAAAATAGTTTGTGTTTGATGAGTGTAAGATTAGTCTCGTAAAACACTTCTCGTGTCTCAGGTTTAATTGTACTGTATAATGCACTAAAGACAGCAAATCACCATGGGATTGCTAATAATCTTCTGATACTTATTACTTAAATATGACACTGTCTGTTTCTTACCAGTTGAAAGTGTACGTCAAAGTTCTGTTCCTGATGGCTATATTTTACACACAACTCTCCTACGATAATTCAATATGTAACACAAAGTTGTGATCCTATTGACCGTCAAGCAACACATCTGACAAGTCTATTAATACTTGTCAGAGAGTTTCCTTGTGGCGTGACGCGAGAGTGAAATCTGGATATGACATTTACAATTCCCGAAATGTCAATTAAATTTTATACCTTTAGTTTTATAATTTGTTTCGTGGGTGTAAAACAAGACCACAAATACTTATATACTGTAGTTACCAGATTCATAACTAGTTCACTTCAGGGCAGAAAGAGATTCGTATCAAAATTATATTATAACTTCCTTCAGTACAAGCGTCGCCTCGTGTCCAGATGTCAGGGAACAGTTTTAACGCGAGACGATAAAAGTATTTGAGAACTAACAGTGTTCAGTTTTATTATTCATTCTCATTAAATTTATTATCGGACTCTCACAAAGGTGGTCTTTACTGAGGGTGGCGGACCTGCGCTGTGGATTTATATAAATTTATTGAGGATATTAACAAAAAGTAAATAATCTATATTGACGCGAATAAACCTGTCACCGGCGACATTCGATTGCATAGTTTGAATTATATATCGGGTGTCCCTGCCTCCCTCCCTCCCTCCCTGCCTGTCCTTGCCTCCCTCCCTGCTTGCTCCCTGAGACACTGTGAGTTGGAGGGAGGCAAGGAGCAGTCAGGGAGGGAGCAGGCAGGCTGGGAAGGTCTGGCCACATCACACACAATCTACTTCCTCTGTATAGTTGTCACGTGTCTTACAGTCTTGCCTAATGGCCAAGTTTGGTGGTTTATACAACAGGATGATTAGTTTTAAGTGAACTATTGAGGTATTCATTCAGACGCATCTTGACTGTTCTCTCTCAGTCCCACCTACGGCGTCTGGTGTGTGTTGTTGTTTGGTATATTTGCTTCTCTTACTCAATAGCTCGTACTCCAGCTAGACCTATGCACTACACAACAACTCATTGACAAGTACAATAGTGAAGTCATTCTGGTATGAAACTCTCAAATCGATCAAGACAACAAACTCCATATTTTGTTCCTTAAAAATGACATTATTTTTTATTTCTGAAAAAAAATTCCTTTAAGAAATTCAGTCAAACTTTATAGACCCACAAGGCTATATCTCCACATGTCGGTTGTAAATATATTTAGTGAGTTACATGCACTGTCGATAACACAATATTGGACGTAAACTGTAACTCTAGGTGTAAGTTACAGTACTGGGCGTTAGGTACCTTGGGAACTGATTTACTTCTGAATTTACAGGGAACAGTAGCTAATCATTCGGTTTAAAGTCCCATATATAAGCAGGTTAAAGACAAAATGTGGAACTAATTTGTCCTTATTTCTGAACTTCAATACAATGGGACAATAGCTTTATAGTTTTCTCCGATTCAACAATAAATTAATGATGAGAACTACGAGATTTGAGACGATTATAAGTCCTGTTTAGACCATTTTAATAACAGATATATCGTCAACTTATTGCTTGTAAAAAAAAAGTTTAGAGTAGAAATGTAATTGGAAGATAGAGTCGTAATGGGATGTCCTAATCGACCTAGTTTATATTTAAATCACCTTATTAAAAGCTAGAAAAACGTTCTTATCTAATGATCTTAAAGGGTTGCTGATTTTTTCTCAGCTGATTACAATTTCTGTTAGATCGACAAATTTGTATATATAAATTATATTGGTCAAAAGCTTACATCTGTTTCTCGTCTTCATCTTCTTTCCACGCAGTAGGTGTGTGTGTGTGTGTGTGTGTGTGTGTGTGTGTGTGTGTGTGTGTGTATAAAGAGAGAAAGAGAATCTCACTCTACATAGCCAAAACGACCTAAAATACCTCCTCAATACAGTACATCAACCCGTCATTCTAACATCATTCTAACAAAGACCACCTCATCGCCTCCAAAACTCCCCCGCCTCTGAGTCGCTCTTCCAGAACCAATAAAGCACAGCGCCCGGGGATAACTACCAACTCTCAATTTCTGACGGCAGCTCACTCACACTACAGACAGAAATGTAACATTGGTTGTTTGTGGCCGTTATTGTATAGACCACATCGGGTTATATATTAAGGGATGGATGATAGGTGTTTTGTATGTGGGTGAGGGGAGGGAGAGAGTAGGGAGATTGAAAAGAGTGGAGGAGGGATATTGAGAAGCGTGGAGTAGGGAGATTGAGAAGAGTGGAGGAGGGAAATTGAGAAGAGTGGAAGAGGGAGATTGAGAAGAGTGGAGTAGGGAGATTGAGAAGAGTGGAGGA